ATTGACAAAACCAAAACAACTACAATGACCTTCGTTTTAAAGCTATATTTATCAATGAAGGTCCAGTATGAAGACAAAGTGTATGAGCAACAAAACATTTTAATGGCCAAGATCATGGCGAATGTTAGAGCATATTGTTAACAGGTATTGTAAATGAGTTTGTGTGAAGTAAAAACATTTATTCTACGACCCGTCTTAATGATATGCTTTGTGATTGAAGAGCTTAGATATCTACTACCAGTACCGGTGGGTTCAGGCGATGTCACATTTGCATTTAAATCGATGAAATAAAAATACAATGTAACATTTCGCCAAGAAACTCGTTAAGACAATTATGCTTTCATCCTCTATGCCATAAAATTCTATATGGTACAAAACAGGAAATTAGTAGAAATAGTGAATAATGGAGAACAAATCAAAGTTGATAGAAACTGAATGCACTAAAACGATTGTTACAAATCATAAGTTCTGCTGGCATAGGATCATTTTTATAGTCCCTTAGCATTTCTTAGAATTAATTCTATTAAGAAATACTGACTCCAGATGACATAAGTTAACCAACAATATTTTCAACATTTGATGCTGTTTGTATTATCTCGTTGTTGGCTGAACCGAATTCATCGTTCCCTGTTGACATATAAGCTCTTGGATGGAGGCCTCAATACTGCCTGAATAGTGACAGGATAATACAGGCAACATTTAAAAACTATACTCGTTGGCCATCGTGACTCGGTAGCCTAATGGATAACGCTTTGGCTCTCGAAACAACCGGTCGTTAGTCCGAGTTTTAGATCGAACAATATCGTTCATTGGCAGGCAGATACATCCATCTGACAAGTCCCAAATACGATGAAACGCACATCTTGGATTCCACTGCTAGCCACTATTCACCACTAATGCCAAAATTTTTTCACCGGTCAAAACTACCGGTGTACAATTCTCGTGTATCAACTAAACAAAACTACATGAATTATCTTCGGTTATCAACAATATTACGTTATCTCTATAAACCTAAATACACTATGCAGTAACTGAAACTTTATCACAGTATCTCTTCATGGCTGCTAGCATGTGTAATTCAAAAAACAGATATAAAAAGTACTTTAAATATATAACATGGAAATATCTCCCAGCATCCTACTCAACTTTTGGCACAACCTCTAAGTAAAATATGGTTTAGACTGAAAATCATTTCATCTGGAAAATAATAAAATTGCTTCTAACTTATAAAGAGAACAAGAAAAAGAGAGACAATAGGCTGCTTGATACTACTAATTTCCCGTTGCTATAATGGATTGAACTGCTCTGTACAGATGTCTTGATACTGTAGGATATTCATGATGTTGTATTCATCTCGGTGACTTGTAGTGGAATCTGAGAAGCGAGTCTTTTCCTCTTTTTGAGGCTGGTCAGCTGAATGTACCTGCACCCTAGTGAAACTGGAACACAGTACTCTAGGTTCTAAATGCTAAAGTGTTATTCTCTGGGCTACTGAAGTAGTATGATCAGTCTTTCTTTTTTGAATCCCACTTAGTTAACTGGGATCAAATTTTCATTTATTTGAGACCCGTCGGCTGAATGTACCTGCAACGCCAGTGCCGAAAGATGTTGTTCCCACTAGGACTCGAACCTCAAACACAAAGGCATTATCCACTATGCCACGGAAGAACGACAACCACTTCTTGTACAACGGGTAGTAGTTATTACCACTTATTGACATACTTGTTATCCTCTGCTGTTTTGTTGGGTCAAATTGTTCGACCTCTATTGGCATATAGGCTGCTTTGAGGGTGCCTCGACATTGCATGAATATTTATTATGGTTATTTGCTTGGTTGTCCCAAAAAGGGTGAAACGCGTGTTCTGGATCCTTCTGCTAGCCACAACTAAATAAATAACAGTACTTAACAATCAGACAATGTTGAGGCATCTGCAAAGCAGCCCATATGCCAATAGAGTCAAAAAAGTTCTATCCAGAAAAGAAACAGAGAATTACAAGTACATGAACAAAAAGTAGTAATAATCTTCCATTAAAATTATTGAAAACTACTTAGATAACCAATTCGATTTAGATATTTTATGAAAAACTGACTATTCTGGCTGTTAATAAGGTAGGCTTTAGAATCATTGTAAAACTTCACAGTGAAACATTTAGGAATTTTTAATTAGGCCTAAAAAGAATTTTTTTTATCACTAAGCTCTTCATTATCAGCTCTACGCCTTAATCTATAAGTTTCTTTGTATTGTACTTATAATATATATATATACTCAAACGTAAAGCCGATAATGCTAAGAAATATTCCTTCGCTCAGTTTATTTTTTCATAAATAAATGTGTTGTAGCTTGTTATCTGCAGAATAGATAAGTAAGTAGAGGCATAGACTGGCAGTATACTACGAGCGAATAACTCAACAACCTGTAAAGAGACATTACTTAAGACAACTTCAGTAAGGTACTACAATAGTATATGATTAAGTGAACGTGCCTATATCATATGATCTGTCCTGAAAACTTTTCAAAAATATTTATTTTTATCTTTGCAAATAAAATCATTTCTTCATTTCATCAGACAGAAAACAAAATATAATTTTGAAAAGTGATATGAAATCTTAATTTGAAATATAATAATCATGACAATGGTTTAATCAGTAGGAAAGATACTAAAACTGGGCAACTACTTACATAGAGATTAGTAGAATATACCCTGATACACATCTTGTAGGTGAAAAAGAGTGATACTTAACTATCATCATGTCATTGAATAGAATGGAGTTCAAGCTCATGATTAACTGACTGCAGATCAAGTGTTTAGACCAATAAGTAAAAGCTTAAGCTGAAAATATTCACCTTTACATTTGATAAGTCACAAAATTTATCTTAAAATATCTCAAAGTGACATTAAAAAAAATATGATGCTTTTGTGAATGCATAAATAAATTATTATTATTATCATTATTTGTCCCCTGGGTTCCTAGTGAAAAACAGAGCTTCAGTAGCACGTCTCCATTACACTCTCTTATCTGAAAACTTTCCAACCTCGCTCCACAACAGCCAACAACCTCTCATTTCATCCTCACACAATCTCCTCCATGTCAACCTCGACACAGATGCCAAACTCGTCAATTCCCATCACGGTTTCACTCGACTAACTGGCCTGGCCTAGCCTGGTCCGGTCTGTGATGTCCACAGTCAGCCTTCTCAGTGTATGCCCAATCCAATCCATCTCCACTCTCCTCCAATGCACATTTCTTCACTGATAGGCTCTTCGTTGGTTCGTTGCCAACCAGCCAGCCAGCCAACCAGACAGCCAGACAGCCAACCAGTCAGCCAGCCAGAGTTCCTTCTCACTTGTTCCCACTATTCCGACCATCTCATCTTCAGTATCAAGCCAGCATAAGCAGTTGTTGATGAATGTCAGCAGTTCGTTGGGAATGCCTTTCGTAACGCACCAAGTCTCTCAGCCAGCCAGCCAGCCATACACAAGCACTGACTTCACTGACATTGGTGTTGACAATCCGCATCTTGTTCACACTTTATGCTGAGTGCAGAACATCTCCACACTGTTTCCAGACTAGCGAAAACGTGTCTTGTTGTCTTTCCAGTCGTGTCTGGCTTTCACGTCCTCGTGTGTGCCACCACACCACCTGTAGTTGAAACGGTGCTGCTCAGACAGGTAGGTGAAACAGGCTACTTCCTTCACGTTTTCCTGTTCATGGTGATTGGTGTTTGTTGTTGTTGGTGGTGGTGGTGATGTTGGTTGGGTATCTTGATCACCTCTGTCTTCTCTACATTCACATGAGGACCTGTCTTCGTTGCCCTGCCCTGCCCTGTCTGTTCTGTCAACTTGTACGTTTGGGCCTGTAGATCTTCCAGTTTGTGTGACATTATATATCATCGGCGAAATTCAAATCTTGTAAGATCTTTTCCCTGGCTCAGCGTATCCCCCTCTTCTCACTCCTCACTGTTTGTTGCATGATCCAGTCCAGTCGGCCACAATCAGGAATATTATGGGTTATAGTAGGCAGCCTTGTTTCACTCCCGTCTTCACTTCAAAAGCATCGCTGAACTTCTCATTGTGAATTACTTGACATGTGGCGTCTGCATAAATAAATGTTTCAGCCAAATTATGTTCGTGATGTACTCCTGAAAGCTATTAATTATCACTTGGTTTCTAAATCTGAATTCAGTTGCATCAATGTTTTGTTGCGTAAGTTTACTAACTCATAGTCAAGAAGTCATATGGTAATCACCAAGAATTTATTCTTCAAACTACAAAGATAGAAGCTTACACTGATCTCTGCAATCACTTCGATAGCCAATGAAAGCTTTCATCAGATTATGGAAATAGTAAGTAGAAGTGGAACTTTTGCAAACTCTATATACTAACTGTTACTGAAATGTCACGTAATGGGATCCAATAGGTGTTGTATGAAGCATATCCCAGTACGATGGTAACTTACCAATCAGTAGGTGCACTCAACTTGGTGACTAACTGTGTAGTCAAAGACCCATGTTTCGTCTTGTTTGGGACTCGTCAGATGGATGTACTATTCCCAGTGAAAAATCGTTGGCGTTTTAAGCAGTGGGTACTGAATCTAAGTTTCACAATGAACAACCTCACCAGAGGGCGGGTACACCCAGCTGATGAGCCCCAAAGTGGACGAAATGTGTGTCCTGGGCTGTAGTTCTAGTCACTAAGATGAATACATCAAGAATATTTGGGCAGTATCGAGATATCTTCATAGGTGTATATCTGCTCACAGAGGTCAAGCGATTCGACCCTCTATAACAACAGGAAATCACAATATCGAATAATAACTAGTCAATAGGCTTATCACAAACTGCTTCTGAGTAAAGAAAAGAATCATGTTCAATCGTTTAACCTGTCATAGTCTTGTTCATTTTTTGCTGTTCTGATTTCATAAGAAGTTTGAAAATCACTTATTCGATGATCTTGGAAATCTCACTGATAGCATACTTTTTTATCACTGATCCATACCACCTGGTAATGCAATTAGAAACACAAAATATTCAGTAGGTGTTTTATTCCAATTTAGAAGTACTAATTTAATGCTAATGTGTGATAAAATCTGCTTTAAAATGCATCACTTTCTCATCATTCATGCACAACATCAAGTGTGGTTGATGAAAAAGCCTTAATGTATGTTTCTGAACTCTTAGAACTCTGAAAATATTTTGTTTTAATCTTTTTAGAAAAAAAACAAACAAAGAAACTGATAAGTTTTTCTTCAGATTATGTTCCCTATCTAATGTGTCAGTAAATCTGTCTATTCACGTAGAAGGAAGCATCAATGACGATTACACTCACCTTGAAATGTATAAATAACTTGGAAAATTCAAATTTGTTGAATACAAAACAGTAGTCGTTTAAAAGTCGTTCACTCTTTTATTTTCAAACTCATTGGCAATTACTTGTAGTAAGTCTTCAAACTGAGAGAATTTAACCTGTTTCACACATTATCTTAGTCACAAATTATACTATGAAGGTACTGAAGACAAGATTAATCATATATGAAACTGGATTACATGTAACCATCAACTTTTAAGTTTCTACCAAATCGATCAACTAGATCTTTGATATAGCCATCACAGGAGGTCAGTCTCATGATTTCAATACTAAAGTGTGCATAATAGAGTCGAATAGCAAAGGTAACCACAGTTTACCGAATCTTCAGATACGCTTTGCAGATATGTTCCAGTAAACACGAAGTCTACGTAGAGTGAAGTTTTATTCTATATGACCGCTAACATCCAATATAGCTGGATACAACATAGTTATGCGCCAGTTAACTTGTTGGTTACAATAGACAGCTGATCAACAAATTGCCGTTAGTTCCTAGAATTGAATACTTACATTGCTTAGCATACAGTGTACAACTCTTTTAACCTTCATATCCTTCTTCCCTGTTACAGGTTTTCCTAAATACTCAATACATAATACTCTTCGTATAATGCTTATAACTTGAAAAAATCTTCTGTACTGTTCACTGATAAGAAAAGTTTGAAATCAAATAATCCATTTCAATGAAAATAATCGAGAAGAAATAGAGTCAGCAAGTTAACAAAACAAAGATATCCATTTATCTTTATAACAGTGTAACCTCGACTGGTTAACTAGTTCACTAGTTACTAGCCGGTCCTAAGCCCGGGTAAAGAGGGAAGGTTGGGCATAGGGCTAGCAACCCTACCCCGTAAAACAAATCTAACCGCTAAAGAAACTTCAAAGCACAAACGATGTATAAAAATAATAACAGTGTAAGCATCTCAGGTGAATAATCAGATAGTAAGCAGTATACCAACAAGGTTATCTTGATGTTGGTCTAGACAACATCAGTAATGGTTGCAGTAATAATAATAATAATAATATTATTGTTATTATAGTTATCGTATAATTTAGGCAATATTGAATATTAATGTTTACTAAGTATAAATTGGAAAAAAAATGATGAAATCTTTATCAAAAAATAGAAATGTCTATCTGTTAACATATTTAACACCACAAACTCAAGAAAAACTCCTCAATTATAGCATAGAAAAATAACAGTCACTGAAGAATGGATTATAAAGTCACTTACTCTGAAAAGAAGGAAGGAAACGGGTAGGAGGTAACTGAGATTTCAAATTTGGTAGGTACATCAAAATTTTAACTTAGTGTATGATGACGTAAACAGAAAAGAAGTAGTTAACTCGAAACTTTTTGATTGCTTTTCCTCCGTTCATTAAATAAGCATAACACATTTAGAAATACTGTCCAGCAGTGATGTAACGACAATTTCTATCTAACACTGACACTATCATATGATGATTATAGTTCCTTCATCTAAAAAGAAAAAGAAAATCCAAATTTAACTAGATAACTATCACTATCATGTTACATGTTTTCAAAACAGTAAGTATGCATATCTAGCTTCAACTTCATGGGGATAGAATGATGAATATACGATAAAATATTCCAGAAAAGTTTTGTTAGCGTTTTCTTAACGCTTTGTCTGCATACATAAAAAAGGTTTTCCCTGAGCAATCAAACATACGACAGGATAAAGTAGTATACAAAGTGTTTTATTCACATATCAAGACGGATGACAAAGATGACGGAATATCATAAGCTCAACTACAGTTAATTATTCTCAACTGGTTTCTTTGTTTGTGTAACTTAAACCATTTTAGCCAACACTGTGTTTCTAATACAGGTTTGTAGATATTTCAACTACAAGTTAGCATGAATTTACTATTTATTTCATCCATCTATCAGACAAAAGGCGATATCGTCTGCTGTATGACTAAACTGTCAACAAAACGATTTATATATTCGGGAAAAAAACAGTATGAACAAAATATGAAGTATAGGCAATTGACATTCTTTTTCATTCATTATACTGAACGGAATTCATCATTTCCTAACCGTTCTTTTACAGTCACGTAGGATTTTCTGTGTTCCATCCTGATGTTATTCACTGGATGGTGTAACTGACAGTGTGATTCTTGAAGCATATTTGTTGATTTTTGAAATACGTTAATTGTCTGTATCTGTTTCCAGCCCCTAGTTCATCAGAATATTAAACATTTACATGATTAAGAAACTGCAGGCAACCTAAAACTTACATCATAGATTTGACTTCTATCTATCCGTGATCTGCTTAGTAGGAATGGCTACCCAGACAAGTTTGTAACTAAGCACATGAATATTACGAAGGTTAAGAAAACAATGCCAACAGTTCCTAAGAAGCAAATCTTATTGAAGCTGCAATTTAAGAGTGATATTGCCAGTGAGATCATCACACAACGCATAGAAAGAGTCTTGCATAAAGCATTCCCAGCCACTAAATTATGTCCCGCCTTCTAAAACCGCCCGATTCTAGGTGCAAGAAATAAAGACAAACTGCCCGATTCTGCCACTTCTATGTGCATTTATCAATTCAATAGCTCCTGTGGAGCGAGTTACATTGGGCATACAATGAGGCAGTTCCATCGCCGAATTTCTGAGCATCACCCATCACAGTTGAACAAGGGACAAATTAGAACTATAAAGAGCTCCATACTTGCACACTTAGTTGATACAGAACATCAAGTGGTGACTGGAAAAGCCTTCAAAATTATCCATCAGATTCCAATTAATTTACCTCATGGATTACGCATTCGGTTACTTCACATAGCAGGGGCGATTACAATCCACCTTTACAAACCTAGCCTGTGTATCCAAAAGAAGTTTGTTCAACATGATGTAACTTCTAGGCTTACTTTGTACACCTCTTCCCCCTTCTTGTTCCTATCAATATTCATATTTCCTATTTTAGTAACTCTATTGATTATTTACATCATTATTTCCGAAACATCACCATATGATTGGTAATTTGATTAAATTGAAATACTATGCATATTAGTGTAGAGCCCAAGATGAAGATCTAATTGAAAAGGAATATATTCATTCAAAAGAATGAATACAATGATAAAAGTAATCAGTGCAATAAACTCATTTCGAATTAGTCTAGATTCAACAAGTGTTCGAATAAAGAAATATTTTTTTAAAAATCTTACTGACTGTTTCAGTACAAAACATTTTTTACACTGAAACTTAACTTCCCTGTTCTCAGATTCAAGTGTTGGTTCAATATACAATAGACAGAATTTGATATCGATCATCTCAATTATAATTAAACAGTGTAACAGATGAAAATTTTTAAAAAAAATCTACATGAAAATAGACAAATGCTTTATCTCAACAACAAAAGACACCCAGTATTTAAGGCGTATGTCTATGATTTAAACAAAATGTCTTTTTGATTGCTTGTTTAAATCAACAAATTATTTTTGTTTAAAAATAAATCCCTTTACACATACTCTAATGCATTTTATCAATACAATCTCATAAAATATTATGATATGTAAACTTGTTAGGAAAAATCTATTCAATAATTAGCTTTCCTGGGATAAAACCCTTTTTAATGTTAAACAGTACTCAAACTTTTCACAGGGAAGTGAGTGCAAGACACATAAAATCTAATTACCTAATGTCAACAAACATATTGTGTCGTGTACTATTCATTTGGGGGACTTATATTAACTACTTTTTGTGGATCAATCAAAGTGAAAAATTCTTGAACATGAAGTGGTTGGCAATATAACTTTCAAGTACCGAAAGTAAGATGAACATTTGCCAACTTTAGTCAAGCATAACAGTCACTTAATCATAAATAATATCAATTAAGTTTAAGACTTTCTTATGGTAAGTAATTATCTCTTTGATATGTGAAGGAAAATAAATTGATGTCGCATGCAGGATAACATTTCATGGTTTCTTGTATTTCCTCAGTTCGAATAACTTAAAGCACCACTCTGCGTCAGTATAACGCCCTTAACAAACGTCTCCTTTCAGATTTCAAATGATAGCATTTTCACTGCAGTGAAGGAATAGAGTAGCAAAATGGTAAGCCTGTACTTTGGGACAGAGAAAAAATCATTACATTTTACTAGCAGTTTCATAATTATTATTATTTGTCTCCTAGGTTCCTAATCCATAATACAGCTTCAGCAGCACGTCTCCATTACACTCTCTTATCTGCAAACTTTCCAACCTCGCTCCACAACAGCCAACAACCTCTCATTTCATCCTCACACCATCTCCCCCATATCAACCTCGACACAGATGCCAAACTCGTCAATTCCCATCACGGTTTCACTCGACTAACTGGCCTGGCATGGCCTGGCCTAGCCTGGCCCGGTCTGTGATGTCCACAGTCAGCCTTCTCAGTGTATGCCCAATCCAATCCATCTCCACTCTCCTCCACTGCACATTTCTTCACTGATAGGCTCTTGGTTGGTTCGTTGCCACCCAGCCAGCCAGCCAGCCAACCAGACAGCCAGACAGCCAACCAGTCAGCCAGCCAGAGTTCCTTCTCACTTATTCTCACTATTCCGACCATCTCATCTTCAGTATCAAGCCAGCATAAGCAGTTGTTGATGAATGTCTGTAGTTTGTTGGGAATGCCTTTCGTAACGCACCAAGTCTCTCAGCCAGCCAGCCAGCCATACACAAGCACTGACTTCACTGACATTGGTGTTGACAATCCGCATCTTGTTCACACTTTATGCTGAGTGCAGAACATCTCCACACTGTTTCCAGACTAGTGAAAACGTGTCTTGTTGTCTTTCCAGTCGTGTCTGGCTTTCACGTCCTCGTGTGTGCCACCACGCCACCTGTAGTTGAAACGGTGCTGCTCAGACAGGTAGGTGAAACAGGCTACTTCCTTCACGTTTCTCCTGTTCATGGTGATTGGTGTTTGTTGTTGGTGGTGGTGTTGGTGATGTTGGTTGGGTATCTTGATCACCTCTGTCTTCTCTACATTCACTTAAAGTCCCGTCTTCGCTACCTTATCTCCTCGCTCAACCTGTTAGTTTTCGTCTATAGATCCTCCAGTTTGTGTGACATTATACACAAGTCATCGGCGAAATCCAAATCTTCTAGGATCTTTTACCCGGTCCCTAGCATTTTTCTATGCATTATATGAGTTAGAAACCTATTTTCACAGCGTAAACACTGTTTCGCCGTAATTGTTAACCATCCTCAAAATTCCTATCTAAACTATTTGCTTTAAGTGCAGAAAATGATATACGGTATAAGTGGCTAATCATCTGTTAACAGAAAAAATGTTTTATGCATTACGATCAAGTATTTGCGTCTTTATCACTGTTCACTTTATATATGGCAATGTTTGTTACTTTCCAGGCTATGCTTCGTTACTGTATGAACGAAACTAATCGTCAAGTATACCTGTAATTATTAACTGGATAAACATTCCAGAGGAAATTTACAACGAACTGCTATTAATTACTTTTTCATATACACTACTTAAATGATGCAACTTGAAATATCTTTCTCTTAGAACTGATGAAAACTCGTTTTCATTATCCTTGTATTTTTTGTTTTGCATTCATTTGTGTAGTTTCTTGTTCATTTCTATTTAGACTGTAATCCAGAAAGTTTTTTAGTCTTTTCTTATACTGTATTATACTACATAAATGTGCTAGGAGGAAAAAACACTTTACCTACATCAAACTTAACTAAATATTAAGTGTAATTGTGTTTTTTATATGATACCGTCGTTGATTTGACCGGATTGATCGGTCTCTATTGGCATATGGGCTCCTGTGCGGACGCTTCGATATTGCCTTTCTTTTAACTATGTTTAGTAATGATGGGCAGAGGCTAGCAGTGGAATCCAGGATGCGCATTTCGTCCTATTTGGGACTCATCAGCTGGATGTGTCCCCCACCCAGTGAGTGATGTTGTTCCCACCTGGATTCCGACTCGGAAGCGATCACTTCAAACGCCAGTGAGTCATCCACTACACCACCGAGCCACGATAGCCACTCCTTGTGCGACGGGTATAGTTTTCAGTATAATTGTATTTTTATATGAAACCGGCTGACGAGTCCCAAATAGGACGAAATATGCATCCTCGGATTCCGCTGCTAGCCACGATCCATCATTTCATAATTAGATTGTTGGCAATAGCGAGGCATCCGCACAGGAGTGCATATGCTAATAGAGACCGATCAATTCGGTCCAATCAACGACTCTATATAAAAACAAACAGTTATACTAAAAACTATACCCGTCGCACAAGAAGTAGCTATCGTAGGCTCGATGGTGTAGTGGATGACTCACTGGCGTTTGAAGTGATCGCTCCGAGTCCGAATCTCGGTGGGAACAACATCACTCACTGAGGTGGGGGTACATCCAGCTGATGAAGTCCCAAATAGTACGAAATACGCATCCTGGATTCCACTGCTAGCCACGATCCATCATTAAATATTAAGTGGTTTATAATTCTTATATTGGATATAGCATTTTATTTACTAAAAAATTAGAAATATATTTTTTCTTGTTCATTGACATAAATAAAGATGAAAAACATTGTCTTGTATATGTTCTACGTGAGTAAATCATAAGTGACTTTAAAGGCTAGCCTAGCCGCAAGTTAACCGACAAAGTTAGCTTATTATGACTGAAAAAATAGACTTTTTAGTAAGCTTAAGAAAACTAATTGGTAATATCATTAGTTGTCAGGGTGACTTTCAAAGCTAGTCATGAATCATATTAAAATGTAGCCTACTTTATTTGTCTGTTTTCTGTTCATTAAAATGAATGTAAACTTATCTATACTACACGGATTAACACATACGAATAAAACAACTTTACATCCATTCATGTATTTATGTAATAGGATGTCAAATAGACAAATACTATTATGATGATTGCTTAAAGTGAACAAATATGATTTCAACCTGTAGTTTAATAGTTAATAAGCATACAACCAGAATAATCAATGTAATGCTGTACCACAATTAAACTATTTATCTGATATCAGTAGTCTCCTTCAGTCTAAGAATCAGTAGTAGGATAGCCTCAGGTTTATGATTTTTAAAGGAATAAAAGCCATCAGAACTACCATTATTAAGTATTACTATTTATAATGTCGATATAATAATGCTCAGTAGAAAAATATTCAAGTTGACACAATTAAAAATCATTATTGAGTTCAATTTCTTATGTAATAAATAAATAATGTTTACAACATAAATATAAATGAACTCATAAAACATACTGTTTAACGAAACTGTAAAATCAAGAAAAAAAAGTAGAAAAATATGCTTACAGTGCATATTTCTTCAGAAAAAATTGTTTCAATCAATCAATCAATCAAAAAAAAATGTAAAAATGTTGCTAATCATTTATATCTGAAGGTGTGAATGTGCAATGATGACAATTTTCGATTTCATAACAACATTAGTTAAATAAATCAGTATAAGTGCGTTGCACCCTAACGTCTAAGTGCAAGGCAATGATATTGTCTCATATGATAATGAAAATGTAGTAAGCATTAGACGACAACTTCATTCCCTTCATAATCAATGTAATTTTTGTTTGTACTTAAAGAATAAGCATTAAAGACAATTTAGGCAGTAGTCGAGATACGCATAACATTAAAGAAATTATTAGAAGGTGGAATCATATGATTTATAAATCTCGTAATATGCAAAGGAGATACAACTAGCGCCGAACAAGCTCACTTTTTATTGAAAGATATAAGTAAAGGTAAAGCATTACTTCGAATCATTGTAGTCAATTAGAATACAAATCACACTGACATACTCAGTGTGTAAAAGGGATAGTTATCTCAGGGGAAGGCTGAAGCAGTTTTACCATATGACATTTATTCAGTGCATTTTAGAGATATTTGAAGCAAAGCAGTTATGTCAAAATGCTTTTATCTTCAAGAAATTGGCCCAATTATATGGTCTTCTTCGTTCCCACAAAAATATGACCTACACCTTTTCGAAGTGGAACCAAGTACACGTATTTCCCTTTGTCTAACGTTAGTTATTAAAGTGGCATTGTATAAAAGTAGCGGTTTGTAATTCTACTGGGTATTAAACTTACTGCCTATTATTTCAAGCGCTATACCTATCTAGACAGCACCGTTTCAACTACAGGTGGTGTGGTGGCACACACAAGGATGTGAAAGCCAGCCACGATTGGAAAGACAACAAGACAGGTTTTCACTAGTCTGGAAACAGTGTGGAGATGTTCTGCACTCAGCATAAAGTGTGAACAAGATGCGGATTGTCAACACCAATGTCAGTGAAGTCAGTGCTTGTGTATGGCTGGCTGGCTGGCTGAGAGACTTGGTGCATTACGAAAAGCATTCCCAACAAACTACAGACATTCATCAATTACTGCTCATGCTGGCTTGATACTGAAGATGAGATGGTCAGAATAATGAGAATAAGCGAGAAGGAACTCTGGCTGGCTGGTTGGCTGTCTGGCTGGCTGACTGGCTGGCTGGCTGGCTGGCTGGCTGGCTGGCTGGCTGGCTGGCTGGCTGGCTGGCTGGCTGGCTGGCTGGCTGGCTGGCTGGCTGGCTGGCTGGCTGGCTGGCTGGCTGGCTGGCTGGCTGGCTGGCTGGCTGGCTGGCTGGCTGGCTGGCTGGCTGGCTGGGTGGCAACGAACCAACCAAAAGCCTATGACTGAAGAAATATGCAGTGGAGGAGAGTGGGGATGGATTGGATTAGGCATACACTGAGAAGGCTGACTGTGGACATCACAGACCGGGCCAGGCTAGGCCGCGGCAGGCCATGCCAGGCCAGTTAGTCGAGTTAAACCCTGATGGGAATTGACGAGTTTGGTGTCTGTGCCGAGGTTGATATGGGGGAGATGGTGTGAGGATGAAATGAGAGGTTGTTGGCTGTTGTGGAGCGATGTTGGAAAGTTTGCAGATAAGAGAGTGTAATGGAGACGTGCTACTGAAGCTCTATTATGGATTAGGAACCTAGGGAACAAATAATAATATGATAATTTCAGGCGCTTTAGTACTTAGCTAAGCAGGCTAAAATTTTGTTCGTTTGTTTTTGAGACCTACCTGGAACAAATTTACTATTTCGTAAGTTTGAAATTGTAATTTACATCCAGCATAAGTAAAGATATACACTGGGAAATTCCTTCATACTGCAATGAAGTTTTTAAAAAGGGAATCATAGCGTAACATTATTACTCGGCTTAAATGGTTAGACACTCTAAGAAGAACATTTCGTATTCAAACCTAAACTTGTAAAAGTTCTTTTATAACTTCATTTAAAAAACAACTAGTAGATTTGTGATCTAAAGAATTCTGAATGAATTTGTTATGACAAAAAGAAGTCATATTTGACTTGCCAAGCAAAAGACCTTATATACATTGACAAAAAATAATTGCCCACCTTGCGCTTGTCATTCTTAAAATTTTATAGATTATCTGTACAAAAGTAAGAAACTGTGGACAGTGAAATTTTACCCCAGTAGCTGAATAATTAAGGTGTTAGCCATGAAGCCTGAAGGCTTTGAGTTCGATCCCTAACGGGGTAATGGGTAAGCACTGTTGAGGAGATCTATACTAGTTGGTTGAGACAGCTATCCAGTGTCTCAAGGTTCCCAATGTTTCTCTGACTGACATAAGTAAGCGATAAATACTATCTCAAGATTATCTATTTACTATATTGTGTTTCATTTTTTGGATAAGTGACATTTCTATTTCATAAAAATGGTATAACATAAAACAAAAAAATTCAATGATCAATCTGTCTTTATTTTTCATTATTAAAACGTTCAAATCTCAGGAATAGCGGTTATTTAAGTGCGGACAGTCAATAATTTTCACTATATAAATTCACATCACTAGGCGACATCATGTCGCATCAGTTTTGACCAATATGTTGTTCATCATTATATCATTAATCCTAGCAGTCAAAGATTCCTATCACAACAAGACTACCAACTGAAGAGATAATAATTATTATTATTATTATTATTACCTTCGTTTTCAATATGAAATTCTATTTAGCATGAGTTTACTGAATAGTCTGAAGAAATATTTAGAAAAATTGAAGCTATACTGTTTTTCGACATAAAGGTCAATTCTATTTCTAGAAAGATTCAAGTATGATTTTTCTTCAAAAATTTTAGCTGATTTTCCTCGCTAACCACTGGAATGACCTTTTATTCCTCTCATGATAGTGCTATCTACCTAGGATGATGTTATGCAACTCATCATCTTTTAATTCTTGTTAGAACTGTTTTACTACAGAAAAAAAAAGTATTTCAAGCTAGTTTTCAGACTATTATTCTTTTGAAAACCTAGTATACTTAATAACTAAGTTGTCCACTGCATGTCGCTTCACGATCAAAGGAATACAATTTATATACCGAACAACTCTTTCGGCTTTACCGTTGTACAGTTATTGACTTGAGTAACTGTACCACATCGTCTACAATCAGTTAAGCTGGTGCCGGTTTCATCAACACCTATGTCAAACGAAGAATTTATTTTATACACACCTGTCAGTTATGCACCATTTAAATACTGAAAAATTATATATTCTGATAAACTTACGTCTCTTTTTATGGGTAGAATGTAGTTTAGGTGACCTATTTAAGGCTGTAATACCGGTAAACAACTGAATTATCTTTCTTCTAGGTTGTGCTTACCGGCTTCCATCTTTTTAAAAAATCCTAATCTGCTGCACAGCTGTTTCTTAAATTGCCTTGTCTGTAAACACTACTCCTGCAGAATATCTTTCAACTGACTGGGTTTTGTTTCAATTTACTACCCATTTATCTCTTCTCTATACGTGTTGAGAATGTATATTTATTTGAAAACACAGTCGCTTTTATCTTTTTCATTTAAATTAATGAATCAGTGAATCAGAAACCCTTCCTATCTGTTCCAGGATTAACTGAGGCTAAATTAACGTGAAGTGAATGTCTTCATTTATTCAGTCATCGTCAGTCTCCTGGAAAGAATAAGTCTGGCCACACCAATTAATGATAAAGTCAATCGTAGATAAGAATCCTGTACAGAAAAGCAAAGTCAGAAGAGGTACAAGTGATTTATGATGAGATGCTTACTGAAACCTTAACCATCTCAACTACTACTACTTCTAGTACTACATCATCCGATAATGATACCGTAATAGTACCTGTGGGGTTTAGTTAGGATTCGGACTATAACTTAACTACTAGCAGGTAGTTTCAGGCTAGTGGTGATCAGTTCAAAGTAGATATACTTTTTAATCCATGAATGTGTCACCATACGCGTACACTTCAGTTTCAATATGTAACATAAATTAATATGATAACAGACCGTTTCAGAACACAAAAGTAAATTTAACAGCTTAAAACTTCAAAACATCCAGTTGAAAGTCCTCAGTAGGTTTCACACACTGACCTAAAGGATCACCATCATCATCATTTGTCGCTTGGGTTCCTAATGCAAAACAGAGCTTCAGCAGCACATCTCCATTACACTCTCTTATCTACAAACTTTCCAACCTCGCTCAACAACAGCCAACAACCTCTCATTTCATCCTCACACCATCTCCTCCATGTCAACCTCGACACAGATGCCAAACTCGTCAATTCCCATCAGGGTTTCACTCGACTAACTGGCCTGGCACGGCCTGCCGTGGCCTGGCCTGGCCCGGTCTGTGATGTCCACAGTCAGCCTTCTCAGTGTATGCCCAATCCAATCCATCTCCACTCTCCTCCACTGCACATTTCTTCAGTCATAGGCTCTTGGTTGGTTCGTTGCCAGCTACTTCCTTCACGTTTCTCCCGTTCATGGTGATTGGTGTTTGTTGTTGTTGGTGGTGGTGGTGGTGATGTTGGTTGGGTATCTTCATCACCTCTGTCTTCTCCACATTCACATGAAGACCCGTCTTCGCTGTCCTGCCCTGCCCTGCCCTACCTGTTCTGTCAACTTGTACGTTTGAGCCTGTAGATCTTCCAGTTTGTGTGACATTATACACAAGTCATCGGCGAAATTCAAATCTTGTAAGATCTTTTCCCTGGTCCAGCGTATCCGTTTCTTCACGCTCCTTACTGTTTGTTGCATGATTCAGTCCACTAAAATCATGATACATCAATATTAATACCTGTAAAACCATACGGTAAACAGAGTTTTCACCATTTTAGCAATTAAGTTAACGATTAAAAGATGTGACAGCTTACTAAAATGTAATCCGGACATTAATTAAACTCAGATTTTCAAATTACAAGTGGCCCAACTTACCGAAATAACAGATGAATGTCTAACCTGTGCCTTGAATATTGATTCAGTATAAATCGGGCTAAAACCTTTTGTTTCCGGTAGGTATAATGCAATCAGGACAATAACAGTGGTAAGTACGCATACAAATGGAACAAAAGCATACATATCTATGACTGCCTATTAAAAAAAAAGTAAAAAGAGTTAACATACATTAGTTACCAGTAGAGAAATGAACCTAAATTTGATTTTTAGCATAAACAGTTATCAATGGAAAAATATGCTGTGCAATAATCTTTAACTTCCACTAATTTGCATTGATAAGTAATTCACAATGGGAAGCTCAGTGATGTTTTTGAAGTGAATACAGGAGTGAAACAAGGTTGCTTACTATCACCCATGATATTCCTGATTGTCGTCGACTGGACTGAATCATGAAACAAACCGTAAGGAGCGCGATGAGGGGGATACGCTGGACCAGGGAAAAGATCTTACAAGATTTGAATTTCGCCGATGACTTGGCCAAAAATTCATGAAACCTGTCCACCTGTTGAGGGTTAGTCTACAGGAACTTTTGGCTGTGCTCGTAGTACTCTTTGGCACTGCTCAACAGAGCATATCTTCATCTCTGAGGAGTTAATTGTCCAGTCGGATATGTGGACACGTATCAACCAGCATCGAATGGATGTAGAAGTTCGTTACACATTTAATTATTTTACAATGGCCGTAATAGACCGTCAACAGTAGGTGATCACTATATTGTTCTATCTAACTGGATCTTCACAGTTTGCAATAAGGTGTAGAGCTACAGCAAACTAGGCGTAAAATTATTTGTGTATACTTTTGCCTTGGATAGTCTCAAACAGTAGATGAAATCCTTTCCATCCCGTCTTTATTCAAAATTTTACCAGCATTGTCGTATATTCACAAAGCAGTCATGTTTATTATTGCATTCAGTAGTAAAAATATTGATCTTCATTTTCTGCCAGCTATGGTACCTCATTTGTGGTACTATGCAAAGTTTATTTTTCAAGTGATCTATTTTTTACACTTGATTGAGCTTTGATTGTCTTTGCTTTTAGTGTTGTGTTGCTTGAATGAGTCATATTGTAAATTCATTGCTGCCTGTATATCATTAAAGTTATGAAATTTTCTGTGTAGATTAGGTGGTGTATTATGTGTAAGTGTTCAGATAATTTACACCTTCTTACGTCATATGACTGCAGAATTTCAGTTTATTTGTATCATGCTTTTCTTACCATGATTCACTGCTCTTACTAATCTTTTTATGGCACACTGATACAGCATTATTTACTTTTTTCTTATGATGTAAACAATATACTGTATCACTAAGTTCAATATCACGTAAACAAATCTAATACACAGTTATATTATATCCCAGTGCCGATGTTTTACACCTACATCTTGTAAATATTTTTGTTCTGCATAAAGCATAATTTGTTTAGACATGAAACAGATACACATATCAAGAACAATTTATCTTTTACATCAAGCAAATCTTGAACAAATGATTTTTCCTTACTAAGTAAATTATGAATGTTCTCTTTTTTAGAGCATTATGCGATAGATATGAAAACTACTACACCAGAGGATAACTATATACTTCACCTGAAAACTCTACCTATTGAGATCCAAAAATAAACAAATCACCTACTGCAAAACACAACAAATGAGATATGAAACTACATACTTTGAAAAATCTTTAAGAATAATAAATTTGGCACAGTTTACACCAACCTCTTCTCATAAACAAGACCACTAGTTACTAGCTGGTCCTGAGCTCAGGTAAAGGAAAGGTTGGGCATAAGGTTAGCAACCCTGCCCTGCAAAACCAATTCAATCACTAAAGAAACTTCAAAGCAGAAAGTAAACATGAAAAATAGAAATAAACTTATTCCCCGCTCCAATCCGGGGGGGACGAAATGATGCCGGTTGGTGAAAGCCTTCAATAACCCAAATGGTCAATGTGTCCTCCCTTCTCTCAATGAAAGCAAAAGTAAGAATGTGAACGTAGAATGTCCGCACAACGTTTGTAGCTGGCTGACAAGGCTTCTCAGATTGAAATGAGATGAGAAGGTATGGTATAGAAGTGCTAGGCTACGAATCTGTGAAAGCAGATGCAGTGGAACTGGACTCTCCAAACTGTCAACTGCAGAGTCAACAATCCACCCTACTCTGATATTGTCACCCAGACGACAACGACGAGTACACTGAGTTTCGGAGTGGCTATCATGGTGTCCCCAACAGCATCAAACGATCCCGTGCAGTGGGAACCAACCTATTCCAGGATCACGATCATGACAGCGAGATTCAACTCAAAAGGAAGGAAAGTCACAATCATACAACGCTACACTATGCAAATAAAAATAATGCAAATGAAGAGAAGAAGGAGGAACTCTATACACAACTCCAACTAGTAATGGACAAGACCCCACCCCAGATGGCGACACCGAAATTCTAATGGATGTGGTGACATGGATGCCAAACTGGGAGGAGAAAACACAGGAATAGAATTCATCATGGGTCGAAAAACACTCAATGAAATGATGAATTAGAATGAGAAACTGTTTGCAGACTTCTGCTCATTCAACGATCTGGTGGTTGGAGGCAGTGTGTACAAACAAAAGGATATCCACAAAGCGAGCAACATGCAATCGATTTCACCAGATGGATACACTACACTGAAAATCAGATCGACTTCATCTCAATGTGAAGAAAGTGGAGACGCAGCCAGCCTACTGGACACAAGATGAAGAAGAGGAGATGTAGGTTCACATCACTCACTATGTAGTGCAAGGAACCTTCAAAACTAAGTTGAAAGCCTTCACAGAAGTTGGTGACAGACAACACCTCAAGCTCAACACCCAGAACAGAAACTGAAGGATGAAACTTCAAAGGACATCTTCACGTCAGCTATCAAGACGAAATGGGAGACCCTGAGCAACATGCTTGAGGAAACTTGCACAGGAGAACACTGGAAATCTTTGAAAGAGATGTAGAAGGAAACCTGCACAACTGTATTAGAAAGGGAGAAAAAGAAGCAAGACAAGGAATGGAATGGATCTCAACGGACACATGGAAGCTGACAGAGAAGGGAGAGGAAGATGGTGAAGCAGAATATGAACCAGTGCAGTACAGTGCAGGGATGAACAATGGAAAGAGGAACTGAGTACAACCTACAGAACACTACACTGGACAAAGAAGTGAAGAAGGGTGCGTGCAAAGACAACAACACTCCTACAACTCACTGGCAAGTGAAGCAGAACAGACAGGCTGAGGGCTGGTAGGAGAGACAGAGACCTGACAACATTACATCAAATAACCAGCTTACTATCTGGGAAGGAAGAGATCAACTCAGATGAAACCAATGAGAGATAGTGAGGGAAATTTAATTGCCGAGGGGGAGAAACAAAGGAAACAATGGGTTGACCTCCTCAAAATCTCTTGAATCGACCACCACCACCACCACCACCTGCTACTCGTTCAGAAACACCACCAGCAACACAGCCACAGAATTACGAGCGAACACAAACCTTCTGACAAAAGCAGTAGTGAAGTCCTGAACACCATGAAGTTGCTGAAATCCAGGAAAGCAGCAGGATCAGATGGAATTAATCCAGAAGCACTGGAAAGAGGTGCAGAGACATGATCAGAGGACATGCTCACTCCACTATTGCAGAAGGTTTGCAAGGAAGGAAGGACGGGTACCTGCCCATTGACTGGAAGATGGGCTGCTTTATCAAATTCCCGAAGAAGGGAGACCTAAGTCTTTGCAGTAACTGGCGCAGAATCATGCTCCACCCCTGTCCACACCAAGCAAAATATTAAGCCCCATCATCCTGGATAGGCTAAACAGAAAGTGCTCTCCATTCAAAATTACCACCGAAACAGATTGACTGGCTGGCTGGCTGGCTTCAGGAAGAACAAATCATGTGCAGATCAAATTGTAACGCCACTCTACGCATCATCGTAGAACAGAGCAGAATGGCCTAGAATGTAAAGGTGACATGGCATCGGATGTACTTAAGAATCGTCTTTCCAGATCAATCAATATAACCATCTTCGCAGCAAGACTTTACTTGAATTTTACCAGCCGTAACCTATTCTCCCTTTTTGTTAAAGATAAGCTTCCTCGTTCAGTCGCCTCTATGTGCATCTATCAGTGCACCTGCCCTTGTAGAGCAAGGTACATCGGCCGTAGCCAGAGAATACTTTCTACCCGTGTACGAGAACATGTTCCTGCTTGGTTTTATAAAGGTGAAAGAAAGCCTTTTAGAACTTCGATTCTAGAACATTTGATTGATTTCCATCACTCAAAAAACCCTGACAATGACTTTAAAATTATTTATCAAATTCGCCCAAACCTCACACGTTTTCTTCCTTTTCAACTTCTTAAAGCAGCGGAGGCTTCAGCTATTATTATGGTTCATGTAATTGCCTACACTTTGATTAGTTTCCGGTGTTATTTCACTTAATTGTCTTAATCTTTTTAGAAAACATTGATTTCATCTTTACCGACTTGTCTAATTCTACTACATAATACTTAATTGATTTGCCACTTCCATCAATTTTTTCACCCCATTCTGAGTTATATACTTTCGATGAACCATTCCATTTATTACGTAATTTACTTTATTATTACTAACACTTCAATTGTTACCATAATTACAAATGCCTATCTCATCATCCGCTCTATTATAATTGTCATCATCATATATATAATTTTCCAAATATCATACATATACGATTGTACGGCTTGAAAATAAATTCGTTGAAAAGAGTCTCTTCGCTGAATGCCTTATTTTTGACAGTTAGAATAGCCAAACATAGGAAGTTAGCTAAATGTTGAATGATAGATCCCAACAAAACCCGGTGGGAACAACATCACTCACTGGGAAGCAGGTACATCCAGCTGACGAGTCCCGAATAGGACGAAATGTGCATCCTGGATTCCACTGCTAGCCACTGCCCATCATTACTAAAACCAATTATTTAGAAAAACACTCGGCTATTGCAATGCATGCATTAACACACAACCACACAATAGGGTGGGATAAAGTCACTGTACTTAAGTTTAATATAATTAGGTGAAGAGAGAGGGAGATCGGTTATTGAATTGTTGTTCATCGAATCAATACGCAACACATATACCAGAGATATGAAACATTTTAGTACAAATAAAAGCAAATCATATGAGGTGACGTAACTATAAAAATCAAATGTCGAAAGTAGTGTGATTATATTGATATGACTGAGCAATAATTTATGCTCGAAAGGTCATCAAGTAAATAATACTATATCACTGTGTTATAAATCAAATAAACGAATCTAATATGGAGTTAAATTCTACCACAGTACCCAATTTGCCTATCTAGTCAGCAATCGGGTATGGTAGCGCAGTCGGCAGAGCAATAGGCTGCTGGTTCGAATCCTGCCACGACCCGAATTTTCATTTAACCTTCAATTATAGCCCAGTATCAATTCTAATCTAACAAACAATGGCTATCTCAGATAATCAAAATGATAAAGCATATAGCATTAAGTTTCAGTTCATTAACTAAATGTTAGCACCCTTGTTGCAAAAGAGATCGTACTGCACCTTTTCCTTCACAAATTGTAGATATAAACTGAGGAAGAGTACTAAGCTAGGATGTAAAGGTTGTCCAATGCTTCCTGGTACTCGACGAAAAATGCTTTCAAATCAATCAGCTCCTTATAAACCTACAGCAGAATTCGTAATCTAGTTATAAAAATATGCTTACAGTATGACAGTCATATGCTATACCAACTACTAAATTTGTGCTTTCTGAATCTACTCAGTGTTCTTCAGTATTTCACATTTTTCTCACTTCAGTTCATTTCAACTGATTGATGGTTTATCAAACAAATAGAATGACTTATCTCTACAAATGTCATATTACGAATCAGTGAGTAAGATTAGAGTTTAAACTGTATGTAACTAACAATCATGAGGAACAAGTGTCATAAAACTATTTTAATAATTTTGCAAATTTTAGCAGACAAAACAGTAGCTGTTTCAAAATCTATTAGAACTTACGAGTAATTGGGGGAAGACAAGACCAACAATAATATTGCAAAGCCAATTAACACCAACAGCCACACTTGCTGCAGAATCTCGATGTTCTTGAGTAAACAGTTCAGCTACAAGAAACCATGGAATGGAGCCTGAAAAAATTTATTTGAAAGACACAGTTTATTCCCTCAGCGTATATCAAGCTGTTTTTTTAATATTTAGTTGCACAATTTAGATATCCTATGTGTTTACATATGATTGTGTTATCCTTTTGTTGATATGAATTTTAGTTTTTTCTAAGAGTAGTTGGGTTAAAAAGTGTATTACCTTACATCTAGCAAAGGTGAGGACTGATATTTACATGATTGTATATAACCCTGAAAACATTATTCATCTACAAAAGGTCATAACAGGTTACGTTCACTTGACCACCGTTTACTGAAATTATTAAAAAATCAACTTGCACATTGCAAATAAATGATATAAATTCGTTTAAATACCTGGACCAATAGCGAATCCTGAGACAAATAGGTATAGTACAAGGATTGAAATATACATTAACCAGGATGTTTGAGTATACTTTTGGACTACTAAAAGTGTTGTGAATACAATTAAACTGAATAGGCACACTGAGAAGCCAATGAGTAGCAGCATACGTCTACCTCCTCTGTCAACTATAAATACTGATACAATAGTAGCTAAAAGAATAGTGGCTCCAACTCCAAGATTCACTAGACTGGCTTCATTGTTTGTAAGACCAATATTTTTAAATAATAGGACAGAATAATAAAAAACCTAAAACATACAAATAGAAAAAGAAATCATTAGAAGTTGAGGCGAAACAAGTGAAAATTTATGTTGAACACTTTGAGGATTGGATTAGCTACCAACTTCATACAGAAGAGACTTAGTTCCCATGGCAACTCATATATTGTGTACAAATATTGTTAGGTAAAATTACTTTACACATATTCAGCTGATAAGAAGAATCAATAAAGTGTGACAATATGAATTCATCCTATTATCAGTTTCATCAACTGCTTACAGGTTAAATAATTCTCATATTGGTAGGACTTCACACATTTGTGACTGCGTAACCACAGCAGAAATCAATATCCCCTCATCAGAATAAACATGCTTCTCCCATTCTTAAATAACCAGTAAATGTCTTTGTGACTAGTGCGGTTATTCATGTTAAGGAGGTTGATTCATCAAGCAGATCACTTGACATATAATGATGTCTCTTCAAGAGAAAACTATTTTATTCTATTACAAGTTTTCAGTGTATCCCTCCTCTCTGAACATCTTAGACACTGGAATCATAAAATACAAGAAAACCTAAGAGATAAATACGAATAAGAACAAGGCATGTATCAACGAATATGAATAAAAGCCTTATTTAGCCCGAATAGCGTTTTTCACACGGATAATGTCACCAAGACACAAAAGAATTTTTGCTGAAGTAAGACAGTCATATAAACTGTCATAACAAAATTCAGGTCCAGATATCACACTCATTGTAACTGAATCCACAGACTAGACAATTCTCTGAAACATCATACTAAGAATTACATCAATTCCATTCCTCGTTCTCGTAGAACTACAGCAAATTAGGAGATAAAGGTCTCCTAAACTATGTGAGTTATCACATGTTAGCATTCATAAGGTAACAATTTTTTGAAGATATTCATTGAAGAGCATCTTCATTCCACTACTAGTTCTCTTTCTTTGATATCAAGATGGATCTTCTTCGCATACTAAATCTTCATGTAACCAGTCCTTAGTGTTATTGCTTGTATGACACCGTCATTGATTGGACAGAATTGGTCAGTCTCTGTTGGCACATGGGCTCCTGTGCAGATGCCTCGATATTGTCTGTTTTTAATTATGTATAGTAATGATGGGCAGTGGCTAGCGGCGGAATCCAGGATTCCACTGCCCATTATTACTGTACATAATCATTCTTTCTTAGCCAGACGGATAACGTAAGAAGACAAAAAAGCGGTTTCTCAACAACCACTAATAGCCCAAGATGGACTGGTAATCCAAGTGGCATGTCTCAAACACCAAAAGGTTGAATATTGATCAAGAATGGGTTGCAGTCACAGAGGATGCAGTACGACACATCAAATAAGGTTACTGATGAACGACAACAGGACAGGCGGAATAATAAGACATGATACACAACCAAATGATCCATTGGTCACAATCTCGTCTCGTCAATATTCATCCGGGTTGTAAAAACTAACGAAGGCCACTTCTGCGAAACGGAGTGTTCTTACTATGTGTGATACTCTACAGTCTCTTCATACAGCATCCAAACTCCTTTTATTCATGAGTTACTCAGCAAATGTACAGCCCAAAGATCTCCTTTGTTATTCAGAAATCAATTTTCAGGAGTATTGTTGATGAGACCTATGTAAGAAAACTTTAATTCAGGCAACGTGTCTTGTACTAATGGACAAGACTATTTGACACTGGATAAAACCTTGACAGAAACAGCGTCTGGGACTGTAAATTATTGGTCTGATTGCCAGGAAAATATTTATAAAAAGTTGAGCATACTGACCTACGTCTATCGTCCTTCTACCTTTGTTCCGTTAGGTACATGCAGACTTAAGACAACTGGAGAGAACGTAAGCAGAATATTTTTTTGCTCTTGAACAACTTAGTGAACGACCAATTACGTTTGGTTCATTCAGTTGTGTGTGAATTAAGATATGAGATCACTTCTGAATATATTACTGCTGCTCACGATGTCCACAAGATATATGAACGTTTCCACACTTTGTGACATTACCAAGTGCCATTGTCTTGAGACCGAGCTCAATTTCCTTCTATACTATCAGTGATGTAGAGTGCACATATAGCACACAGAAAGCCGCTTTTTGTGGGATAAGAGTATATCAAACTTGTAGCATTTGAGTACAAACACAAAAGGCGAATATATACAAACAGTTTGATTCTTTGTGATATTAAAGATTATATAAGTAAAGCAACTGTCTCCATAATCACAGTGGACTTCTTTTACTTGTGTTTAAAATGAAGTGAACGGGATCTGCAGCCAGTAAAACTGGACTACCTCTGATCCCTGTAATCCAGTTAGTGAGTCTAACAAGGAATCATGACCACCACCCTTAGAGAATTTGACCGGAAGGATTCTTTATTTTGTGACTAAATCATCGTCATGATGTTTTGAAGTGTCTTCACGGCACTTTTGAGTAATCGTGAGTAATAGTAATACTTCATTACGTTTGAATCCAGGCGTTGCATTTCGGTAATTAACTGATCGCTTAAGAAAACACTAGGGTCAATTAATGCAATATTGTTTCAATCCTATCACTTGACGGTGGACTCAAACCATATACTCCAGCTAATTAGTGCTAATAAGTGACAGTTTATCATAATAATGGAACATAAGTTACGGTTAATCATCCATAGCTTTGCTCGGCTAGAAATTGTCCTATGGTCTGGAGTGAAGGGCCCTAACTTTCAGTCCTAATGACAACTTTTACCGGGCTGCTCAGCGAGCACTTTTGCTGAAGATGCGGATTTTATCAGCAACCGTGCTTTTTTAGTTTTGCTGCTTACTAATAACTACAGACACTGTCGAAGGGATAAGCATTGAAAATGGTGTAATTTCATTGTGATCAAAAACCTTTTGACATGTTGAAATATAAATTTCTTGCTTACACATGGAAAGTAAAGACAAGTATGACTGACTTCGGTCAACTATAAAAATGTAACTTTAGTCCTCTGCAGTTCAAAGCGGCGTGGATACGTAAAGTTTTTAATGATACACCAGGAGAATGTGATATAACCGTCAAATGATGCGGAACAATAAGTGTTGACAACTTGGCATACTGTTAAGAATAGACACATGAACTACGGATATTTGCTTTAGATAAGTTTAGTTGAAATAAAAACCCGGACACAAACAGTTCTTTAGACCTATTTACGCCTTCTTTAGACACTTTAACACAAACTAATGGAGTGTCAAGGTGACTGTAAGTAGCTAAAAGTATAAAATCAGTTCAAAGACGTAACAACCTACTGAGACTTATAACCCCAAAGTATCATTAAAATCTAGGAGAAAGTAGTAACCTTAAATGTGAAGCAAAAAAATAAATTTCTTCATCTTTCCAGTACAGCTTTGCCACTTTTCAACAGGTAAGTTACAAAGAAAAGCGACAAAGTGGAGTCATTTTGATCTAAAATTCTCTAAGATATCAGTCCTAACCAATTAAAAGCCCGTGATGGTCTGATAAAAAAAAGTGGCAAAAAAGCTGAAAATTTGTTTACTGAGTGTCCTTCTTAGGATTTCAGGCGTCTATTTAACTCCTATGCAACTATTCGCCCTCCTCTAATATCCCTTTTATTAATTTTTACATCAGTTTCCTAATTTTTTTATTTTCCTTTAGGAGTAGCAGCAAAAGGAATCAGCATCCACTCTTGTGAAGTTTGGCATCATTCTGCGTATTTTCCTTACTGGAAATAAAGAGCAACTCATAATGAACTAATCACATCCATTTTGTGGTATTAGTAGATTATGATTAAAAAATATCAGTGACATAAGTGGTATAAGTGATATACTGCGAGGTCTTTAACTTCTATGAACTTACAAAAGTTAACAAGAGTTAAGTGTAGAGCTGCACGTCAGAAAATACTAATAAATCTGAATTAGAACTATTCTATCCAATAGAGCCAAATGAATGAACAGTATGTTCCAGTCAGTAAAATAAATCTCCCTTTTGCTAAAGTATCACTTAACCACGTGCTTACTTCATTTCTATGTTTAGAAATACCGAATAACTCAAAACCTAAGTATCACTTATGACAGTGGTATGCAAATATATAAATAAAGTGAGATGAAAAGAGCTGAGTATTGGGTACTACTTAACTTTCACCAACTGAGGTTCTAGATACTGAAGGTGATAGGGTGATTTGCAATGAACTTACACCGTTAATTCCAGATAGCTGCTGTCCAATATGCGGAACAAGTGCAACGAACAGACCCCATCGCAGATAAGAGACTCGGAAGAAGTCTTTCATTGACAACTGGTGAACACCAGTGAATTCCAAATCCTGATGAAGCGAGTCTAACTCCGTTTGAGTATCATAATCTCTACCTCTAAGCACCAAAAGAGCTACAAATTTAAAAAGCAGGATTATCAGAAAAGTACCCTCTTTTGCAGCCTGTTTGTCGCCTTTTATCAAATATAAGTAGCTGGGACTTTCGGGGCAAAACAACATACATATCACATGTAAAAGACAAGCAGGAGCACAAAGACCTAAAATAAAACTTCAGCAAAGTTATCATTACCTAACAAAAATGGCCATAATATCCGTGTACCCATTACTTGAGGTAGTCCTAAGACCTGAGATAATAAGATGGCAAAGACAGTCACGATCTGATTCACTATGCCTGCTGCTCCTCGTGACTCAGGTGGAGCAACTTCAGAGAGGTAAGTAGGAGCCACAACCGTATAAGCACCTGAAGTAGGTTATTGCATATCGCTACTTTCCTAAGAATACCTGCGGAAATACCAACTATGAATCTACCAAGTATTATAGCCTCAAATGAATTGACTACCGCTGAAATTGTGATAAGCACAGACCCCAAAATTGTTGGGAGTGAAAGAATTAACAAGGTCTTTCTCCTAGACTATTATTTAATTTTTGTTATAAAAGCATACCGACCAAGTTGGTTCGTAACAACTCCACCAATAAGACCACCTAATAATCCGCCAATTACAAATGCTGTCACACAGAAAGACATGATTATTCTCACACATGATGAGCTGCATCTGTAGTTTCTGTCATTAATCACTTCCTCAGTAAAGTTTTGTATTAGCTTTTTTAAACGTCAGCTTCATGCATTTAAAACCTACTGACAAGGGAGCATTTATAACCCCAGTATGGTAACCGAACACGAAAGAGCTGCCAATAGTAACCGAAATGTATGTGAAGTACAAACGCCATGGACACATGATAATCAGGAACTCGTATTACATTTGAAAATGCACATGAGGAAGAGAAGTATTCAATATTCAACATCCAACGTCAATAGTGAGAGTAGGGGAAACTTGTAGTTTTTGAACTCTCACTCCTAAGTTTTGAATCTTGGTTCTTTTCGTTTAGTTGTACTCCTTTGATGGTAGTAGAAGCCTTTGTGCCTTTCTGATTATAGCTTTGGAGGTAGTGGTTGTCCAGTTGAAGGTATCTTATTTGCAAATTGTTTTGAGGGGGACAACGGAGCTGCTGATAAGATCAGTCAACCACTTAAAATTCCTGTTATTGTAGTTGTATCCAAGTAAATGCTAAGAGTTACTTAAAAAGTGATAGAAACATGGTGAGTAGGGGATGGGAAAAAGAGGAGTTAAAAGTACTTATGAAAAGATGAATGTAGCTAGAGAGATGCGTCTGATTGAAGATGCTAGGATTGCATAATGAGAGAGTGGAAGGGTGTATCATTGGTTGCTACTGACAAATGTTCGTGGTAGGCCATTTGACTCACATGCTCATTCAGTAATCGTTTGAAGAGGTCGACTGGCCTAGCTGTGGCCACCTCCATCGGTTGAGCGTTCCATATGGCATATACTCTGTGGGAGAAGAAGTTAGATCTCACTCTCATCTTCGCCCCATGGTGGGGTGTGCGAGTGGGGTTCCCTCGCGACTGTCGGTTTTGGACCGATAATGTTGACCTATTTTGGGTGGTCCAGTTTGTGAATGATCGTGTAGGCTGTTATCAGGTTACCTTGTTTCCCTCAATAGCTTAGTGTGAACAAATTGAGTTGTCTGAGGCTTTGCGAATATGTTTTGCCTGTTAGTCCGACGACTGAATTCGTTCCTCCTTTCTGTACCTCCCCGAGAGTATCATGTTGAACACCTTTAGGTGTGTCCCACATTTATTTTAAATACCACAGGGAATCATCCCGGAGTTAAGGATCCAAGCTGTTTATCGAAGCTATTCGAGATAGTGCGTCGGCTGCGGAGTTGTTTGCTCCAGAAATGTGGCGGATATCTGACGTGAACTGGGAAATGTAATCCAGCTGTCGCGACTCACGAGGGGAGTATTTGTCAGACGCCGAGCTGAGGGAAAACGTTAACGGTTTGTGGTCTGTGAAAATAATGAAATCACGACCTTCCACAGAATGTCGAAAATGGCGTACAGAACAGTACATGGCTAGGAGTTCCCTACCAAATGTACTGTATCTTGTTTCCGCGTCTTGCAGCCGCCTCGAGAAAAAGGCTAACGGTTGCCACTGGTTGTCAGTCAACTGTTGCAAAACTGCTCCAATTGCTGAATCAGATGCATCAACAGCAATACTCAAAGGAGCATTGGGGTCATGATGCATAAGCATGGTTGCGTTCGAAATGGCTTCCTTGACTTTGGAGAAAGCAAGTCTAGCCGCGTTGTCCAGAGACACGAACTTCGCAGTTCCTCGAAGTAGATCTGTGAGTGGTCTCATGACAGAGGCACAGTTAGGGATAAACCTTCGGTAATAACTTACCAGGCCATTGAAAGTGCGGAGATGTTTCACAGTGGTCGGCTCTGGATAGTTTGTGATAGCCGCCACTTTATCTCTCAATGGGCGTATACCTTTGTTGTCAATGGTATGCCCAAGGAAGCTGAGTGATTCAACTCCTATTTCACACTTCTGTAAGTTAACTGTGATGCCATGTTTTTTGAGTCTTTCGAATGCGAGGTCCAAATGTTTAAGGTGTGTTTCCTTATCTGGACTCGCAATTAGACAGTCATCTATGTAGACATGAACAAAATTCAGACCACGGAAGACGTCGTCCATAAAGCGTTGGAATGTTTGTGCTGCATTCCGAAGACCAAAAGGCATGCGCAGGAATTCAAACAGGCCAAAAGGAGTAATAATGGCTGTTTTCGCGATATCTTCTGCTGCCATAGGTATCTGGTTGTACGCTTTGACTAAGTCGATTTTCGAGAAAATGTTCATGCCGCATAAGGTTGCGGTCAAGTCGTAAACGTGGGGTATAGGGTAGCAGTCCGGAGTTGTTTTGGCGTTAAGCCTTCGGTAATCACCGGTCGGACGCCAGTCGTTGCTATCCTTTTTGGGCACCATGTGCAATGGCGATGCCCAAGGACTGTTTGACGGTCTGATAATGCCCAGTTCCAGCATATGGTCGAATTCATTTTTCGCCGTTTGCAGCTTATCGGGGGCTAAACGGCGAGCTTTGGATGCCACAGGTGGACCTGTGGTTGTGACGTGATGCATAACATTGCTGGTTATGCACGGAAGAGTGTGTTTCGGTTGTTGTAACTCTGGATATTTCTCCAGAACTGCCTGGTAGGACGCGTCGCCTGATTGTTTAGTCCTAACGATGGCTAAACTCGGACCTACATAGGTGGTGCCGCCAATAGATAACTTTGTGTTGTTATCTATCAGTCGTCGACGGCGAGCATCTACGAGTAGATCGTAATGGTTCAGCAAATCTATGCCAATGATGGGCATAGAGACGTCTGCCAGGAGGAAAATCCAGTGAATAGGTTTGCGTAAACCTAAGTTGAGGTAGGCATACCGTCTCCCGAATGTCGCGATTGCCTTGCCGTTGGCTGCTTGAAGATTGAAGGATGGGTCGAGATGACGCTCCTTTGTCGTTGCTGGAAGAACGCTAACTTCTGCGCCGGTGTCGACGAGGTAGCGGACTTTCGTTTTAATGTCGGTGACGTAGAGCAAACGGCTTTTTCCGCCGGCTACGGTTGCCGTGAGCACGTGCCGGCGTGACCGTTTCCCGAGTTCGGTCCTTCTTAAAACGGCATGGTTTACGACATTTTCTGGCTTCATCCCCGTAAGTGTTATGAAACCAGCACCATTCAGGGTTTTCCACCCTGTTGGGTTTCGTTTTAGGGCTACCACGCGACTTGCTGCGATGCGCCAAGGTGCGTTTCTGTGAAGTGCTACGTGATCTAGGACTTCGAGATCGTAGCAACCGTTTCACAGAGTTGCACAACTTGGTCACCTCCGAATCCTGGCGCTCTGTTTTGTCACAGATAGAATATACGTTGGAGACGGGTCTGCTGGATATCTCCAGTATTTTATCTGCTGAAGCTGCCAGGTCGTCGAGTGGGACTGACTGGAGTGTCACCAACACGGTTTGCACCGGTTGTGGTAGTTTCGAGAGAAATAGTTCTCGGAAGAAACCATCGTCAAATGTTCGTGCACCGATTACTTCTCGCATGCGTGCGAGGACTTCAGTAGCTGAGTGGCTGCCTAGCTCGATGTTACGAAGCAATTCGTCTAGACGTTGGCGATCTGTGAGATCGCTTTTCTTCAAGAGTGCAGCCTTTAGAAGTGCATAAGGGTCACTTACTTCAGGATTAAACATGTTTGCTGTAACATACCTGTTTAATTCTCGCGGTAGTGAACGTATGACAGCAAGAAATCGAGATGAGGATCTGAGACACCCTGTTCTCGAAAATCGGCCTCGGCATACAGAAACCATGTTTCTGCATTGTCTGGCCAATATGGCACGAGTTGGATCGTGTTCGAGGTCGGCTTAATACGAATAAGCTTGGGAGTGTGGTCGGACATGAGAAAGTGTAGTAAATGGATATATAAATGTTATCGAAATGAAAACAATAAACAAATATAAAATGGAACAGGCTCACCAATTCAATACTTGCTATTGGTCGGGATATGTGATCACGTCGGGATATTTGATCACGTCGGGCTCACCAATTTAGGATTTGTCCTGGTGCGAACTTGACAGACGCAAAGACCAATCACTAATTATTCGAACTTGTTATATACCCACGAATACGAGACCAAGGAAGAACACGATAGCGTAGTCGGATGGAATAGTATATTTGGATGGTTATGCCAAAATACCGATGCGTTCCAACTAACTGGCTAGAGAGTCGAATACGAGCAATGCAACGTAACACGACAGCGTGCCAAATGGCGAGGATGCTTGACCGGATGCCTTCAGCTTAGCGAGTCCAGTTAAACTATCAAGGTCAGCATCAATGTCGAAGTCGTCAAACCCTAGGCTATTGATTTTGGGGAAGTGTATGACGCTACATCAGAAAAGTACCCTCTTTTGCAGCCTGTTTGTCGCCTTTTATCAAATATAAGTAGCTGGGACTTTCGGGGCAAAACAACATACATATCACATGTAAAAGACAAGCAGGAGCACAAAGACCTAAAATAAAACTTCAGCAAAGTTATCATTACCTAACAAAAATGGCCATAATATCCGTGTACCCATTACTTGAGGTAGTCCTAAGACCTGAGATAATAAGATGGCAAAGACAGTCACGATCTGATTCACTATGCCTGCTGCTCCTCGTGACTCAGGTGGAGCAACTTCAGAGAGGTAAGTAGGAGCCACAACCGTATAAGCACCTGAAGTAGGTTATTGCATATCGCTACTTTCCTAAGAATACCTGCGGAAATACCAACTATGAATCTACCAAGTATTATAGCCTCAAATGAATTGACTACCGCTGAAATTGTGATAAGCACAGACCCCAAAATTGTTGGGAGTGAAAGAATTAACAAGGTCTTTCTCCTAGACTATTATTTAATTTTTGTTATAAAAGCATACCGACCAAGTTGGTTCGTAACAACTCCACCAATAAGACCACCTAATAATCCGCCAATTACAAATGCTGTCACACAGAAAGACATGATTATTCTCACACATGATGAGCTGCATCTGTAGTTTCTGTCATTAATCACTTCCTCAGTAAAGTTTTGTATTAGCTTTTTTAAACGTCAGCTTCATGCATTTAAAACCTACTGACAAGGGAGCATTTATAACCCCAGTATGGTAACCGAACACGAAAGAGCTGCCAATAGTAACCGAAATGTATGTGAAGTACAAACGCCATGGACACATGATAATCAGGAACTCGTATTACATTTGAAAATGCACATGAGGAAGAGAAGTATTCAATATTCAACATCCAACGTCAATAGTGAGAGTAGGGGAAACTTGTAGTTTTTGAACTCTCACTCCTAAGTTTTGAATCTTGGTTCTTTTCGTTTAGTTGTACTCCTTTGATGGTAGTAGAAGC